TTTACTATCTACTTTTAATCCTAGAATATCTTAATATTTATGAATCATTAACCTTCACAGTTCGCGTTTTTTAGTTGTACAAAAATGGATCGCGTACTGACAACAAAATGCAGACAAGCACAGACGCAATAATTTTATCATTTATTTCAGATGAGACTAGTTAACTTTGGAATTATACTTTACTCACGTAACTATATATTGTCGACTCCAGGTTTTGGCTTTTTTATCATCTAATAAACGAAAAAAGAATCTATGCTAGGGACTAAAATTCGTCATGAGTAACATCATAACCATACGTCTGGCCTTCTTAAACATACGGCTATTTGACTAACTATGTCAAAAGGTGATCAAACTAATGCCCAAATAAGAATTTAAAAAGATCTAAGGCTCATAGTTAGCAAGAAATACTGAGATGGAAGAGAGAAAAAAAGAAACACGAAAGCTGCTATGCTTATAAAAGTTTATTAATATTTAATGCATAAAGTTTGGACTTGTACCCACATACTATATGATGTAGGTCTAATTCCCAAATGGTATTTGAATTAAAGTGAAGTTTTAAATGTCTTTGTAAGAAACTGTTAAGCATATTTGTTGATGCTTTTATACTTCTAGTAATTACCATTTAATAGATTTATATTAAGTGATTAATTGTTTTAATATTCGGAACCGAATCTTCAAAATATTAACTCTACTTTAAACAATGTCCATTTCCACGTTTCTATTAAAAAACATGTTACACAAAACATCTGATCGGTTAATTATTAGCATTCTTGTCTCGACAATTACTCACATTTAATGCATGTGAAAATATAGTCAATGTTTTAAATACTTCCACATCATAAGCAGTTTCTTTCATATACTCTTCGAATCTGAACTGTTTCCTGCATACTGTAGTGTTTTCTTTAGGATGTCAGTTGTCACAACTCTTCACAAGCTATTTTCTATTTATTTTTTTATCAGCATGGAACGTGTGCCATCTTCTGTTACTACAGTTAGAGCCACAACACGTTGATGATATTTAAAAAAGAAGAAAAAATATAGACAATCTTATAGGCAGTTTTGGAGAATTCACAATAAACGTTTCGAAGACCATATAACAGTAAGAGTTTAGACTATAATTTATGTCGCCAAATACTGATGGAGCTTTGAATCCGATTCCTCATTGATTCGGGTTTTCATGTTGCGTCATGTATTTATATTCGTGAATCAAAAACCTGAAGGGTTAAATTAATTTTCTATTTTGCACTTTTAATCTCAATATACGTTCATATAACATGATTAAACAGTTTAATTAAGTTTTATTATTATAATGCAATATATACTTTTCTTTATAGTTGTACATCATGAACAAAATATTGAAGCGGGCGTTTCATATTAAACTGTAACCACAACACATTTTCGTCTTTGTGACTATAGAACCAGGAAACTTAAATTAGGTCTTTTTCTTCATTTCTGATTACAGTCTATTTATCTTTGTGAATAACCAACAACAGATAAAGTTGAAGCAGTCTTTGAAATTTTACTTCTAATCACAATGTAATTTTATCTTAAACGCTAAAACTTCAGTATAATACAACCTCATTAATTCAAAGTTCCAACAGAAGCTTAGTTGCATTAGCCATTTTATTTAGTTGAGATTTGTTTCTATCTATCATCAATATTTCTTTGATCCTCAGTTCTCTTTCATAGAGGCACCGAACTGTCGATTCGATGTAACGGCTTCCTCACTTAGAGCACTAGTATCAGTAGATTACATAAGTATGGTACAGCACAGCGATGTTATTTTTATAAACAAAATAAAAAATTATGTATTTTTCCTAAGGGCTTAGCAATACATATCAATTTAAGCCTTAAGTAATTAGATTTTTTCAGTTATTTCTTAATTTTAAATTTATGTAGACCAATGAAAAGTAGAAATATGCGAACATCTTTTTAGGTGCTGTACAATTAGGTGCTGGGTGGAGACTCCAGTCAAAAATTCTTTATAAACCCTTTTCAAAAGTTATACCCGGAATACTAGAAATTCAAAATTTGATAATGAAGCGTTTCTTGCAGGTTTGATGATTAATTACGTTTTACAAATATTCCTTTAGATGAAACAAATAATATTTATATTGATATATTTTATGGCGATAAGAATGTTGTTCGTGACATGCCTAGATAGGTTTTTAGGTTTTCGTCTTCAGTAATGAGATCTATTAACAGAAAGATGGAATTAGCATGGGTTCAAGTTAGATCCACTCATGGCTAACATCTTTATGAGAAGAAATTGATAATAGATTACCAGATTTATTTTAAGCCCCTTTGAATAATAGGTATGTTGATGATGCTTTTGTGCTCTTTTTGAGGAATCGTAGCATAAAAACAGTTCTTTTAAACATCTAAACAGTAAGTATCAAAATATAAAGTATACCATGGAAACTCAATAGGAAAGGATGTCATCGTCTCTCGATATTGCTTTAGAAAAATAAATATTTGGATTATTTTTATGTTAGTGTTTATCATCAACCTACTTTTACTGGTTTATATTTTAAACGGAATAGTTTTATCCCATACAAATTAGACTAAAACGTTAAAATATAGAGTCTATCATTTTGCTAATAATTCATAATTGTTCAAGCAAGAAGTACAAAATATTCAAAAAATTTGAACTTAGATTTAGTTTAAGTAGTTTTTCTTTATTCAGTTTAGTCCACTGTTTTTCTGCTATGTTGGTTTATGAATGCGAGTTCTAAATTTCGTTGCATTTTATTTCTTGATAAAAATATTTTTGATAATTTTGTTTGTTATCTTTTATTAAGTTACTCTCAACCGCACATTTACTAAACTTAGTCCTAACTGTATTGTGTTACATTATGTTACTGAATGGGTTTTTAAGTTTTCCATGAGTGATTTTATTTTTCAGAAACACGGACAGAAGGGAATCCTAGAATTCTAGCATCGTAATTATGTGTGGGGGCTGTATTATATCAGTTTGAAATGCTTTCATTTCTTATTTGCTTTTTACTCATTTCTAGAGCTCATTTCGGTTTAATGGTTCAAGATAACGCGAGTTTACAAAGCACTGTAAATTGAATTAGAAACAACATAGTGGGTCTTTACTCTTGGGCGAAATCAAGTTAGCTTGAACGTGAAGGATGTACAAACTTTACGTATTATACAAAATGTGTATACAGATTGTTATCACCAGCCTAATAGTACTATCTTTGGAACGTATATGTTTACAGGATTAAAATAATAACTGCCCCGTTTTCTTTGGTAACATTTTCTGTGTGATTTTTAAAGCAAGTAAAACGTAAAAAAAGTCTTAAGATTTACTTCTTAATAAGAAAATATGTGTTAATACAGAGTTAAAATGTGGCTCTGAAAATATGTTACGTTAGCTTATAGGCTACATATTGAACGGTTATAAAACAGAGTGAGGAGGAAGTTATTTGTTTGTTTGTTTGTTTTTGCATTTCGCGCAAAACTACACGAAGGCCATCTGCCCTAGCCGTCCCAAAATTAGTAGTGTAAGACTAGAGGGAAGGCACCTAATCATCACTACCCACCGCCAAATCTTGGGCTACTATTTTACCAACGAATAGTGGGATTGAGCGTCAAATTATAACGCCCCCACGGCTGAGAGGGCGAGCATGTTTGGTGGGACAGGATTCGAACCCGCGACCCGCAGATTGCGAGTCGAGCACCGCAACCACCTGGCCATGCCGGGCCGAGGAATTTATATTGTAGTATAAAAGAGGCAAAAATGCAGTTCTATTTGTATCACATATAGTTTTATAGAAGTTAAAAGAATCAGTTTAGTTTTATCTTCTTGTTTTTTCTTTTTCAATGTAATATTTATAAATTTCATGCATCATTTTTTGTAATTAGAAAGTGACTCATAGGAACCTGTTACTTTAATTGGAAGGCATTTCTTCGGTGGTTTTTTCGTTATTTTTTAGACTTTTCTTATGGATGCTTTAAAATGCTAAAGTACAGAAACTGATCAATAAGAGATTTTGGGATATCTTTAATTTCAATTGAAATCCAAACTTTAGGATAAATTTTCATTTGAATGAGGTCTTAATGTATCTCTTACTTTGATTGGAGATGGGTTTTACAGATGTAAACACGTATCCAAACAAAAATTATTATACAAACTTGGATCTAATAAAAATATAAATGACTTATTTACCCATAGTTTTGTTATAGAGTTATTTAATGTAACAACACATTTACTAGATATACCCTTTTATGTATGTCAAATATCGAAATCCTTATTGTACAAAGAATAATAAATGTTTTTAGAATTGAAGATATCGTCAGAGTGACTTACATTATGTAGAATATAGTAATTTTCTTCTATCATAATAATCTTGTTTGTAGATTATATGATAAACAAAACAAATCTCATGAAATATTTTATTTATCATACTGATATAGAATAGAGTTACTTATTCTTATATATTTTCACGGCCATGGAATAGATGACGTAAGCCTATTATACCACCTAGCACCATGCACATAACCAGCCCCTGCTGTTGTTGAAGGGTTAATCCCCTCGACACGTGTCGAATGTCATGTTTGTTTAGTTTCGCCGCTGTAGTGGCATTTAATACCACTGATAATTGTGCCTGTTACTTTATTTTGATGGATGTCTAAAAATTACTTTTACATTAACTTGAAAACAGAAAGATTTTATGATCCGTATTTTAATTAAAAGAAGGCCCAAAGATACATTCTATTTTTACTGGAAGGAAGTGCATGGATTAAATGTTCTTTAACTGAAAGCCCTAGAGTACCTTTTATTATTTTTGGAAAATGTTAATGAGGTTTATGTTGCTTAATTGAAAGTCAGGTTAATTGTATGTTGGTTTTAATTGGATAAAGTTTCTATGATGTCGTTAGCTTAAAATGACAGAAGTTTCACAGAGCCTATTCCACTTTAATTGGATTAACATTTATGGATTACGCTTTGCTTTAATTGTAAGAATGGGCAATGTTTATTCTTGTTTTAGGTAAAAGACACCCTATAAGGACCTCTTGATTTTGTTGGAAGTTTCTTCACGGACTATAGTTTGTTTCAACCAGCGGTATATTCAAGGGTGATATTAATCTTTATTTATACTAGTTAGCTTTTTACTATGTCTCTGCGAATTGAAAAATTATCCATTGATAATTTACAAAGTATACATCTTTTAACATCACATTTTAAGTTTACTTATGTTGAACTGCTGCTATGAGCTCAGCCATAGGAATTTTTCACTGTTATGTTTGCATTCAGTTAACGAGAGTTGATGTAAGTCTTGCACATTAAAAATAATCCGGATAAAGATATATATATATATATATATAATCCGGCCTGTATACAGTTCCTACTTCCACGAAAATTTTCCGCATTTTTAAATGTCATGTTATTTTAGCTTGCAATCCAAAGATAAATGTTTGAGTTTGAACGACTTCTTGTTTATGCTTTACTAAACGCCGTGATATTATATTAGAGAAATTATATTATCGTTTAGTAGTTAACTGAGATGTTGTATGTCAGTCAAATAGTTTATGCTACAAGTGATTTTTACGACGTGATGATTGAACAAAAATAAGTCTAATTCAATTGGCAAGCCTCTGAAACAAATATAAATTTGATCTAGGCGAAAGAAATATCTATAAGGCTTATAGATTTTTTAATAATTTTGATATTGAAAGTGAAATGGAACTATCTTTCGTGATATATTATCTATTAGAAAACTCTCAGAACCACACTACTAGTCCTAATAACTATACATAAAACTTTCAGAACCACACTACTAGTCTTAATAACTATACATAAAACTTTCAGAACCACACTACTAGTCCTAATAACTATACATAAAACTTTCAGAACCACACTACTAGTCTTAATAACTATACATAAAACTGTCAGAACCACAC